CTTGCCTCCTGGACAGGACCTTTAGTCCAGATCACCCTTTCAATCAAGAAGATTACAGAGAGAATGAATCCCTAAAGAGCACTGAAGAAAAAAATATTGTGCAATAATCAGCGATGAAACCACGCTCGAGTCAAATCTCCAAAAGCCAATGGATGTTGCATTCATATCTGAAAAAGAGAAGAGAAAATGGTTTTACTTCCTCTGAACGCAAAAAACGGGACTACTTTTTAAATAAAACTTTCATATTTCTGTCATTGTTTCTCACCTGTGTAGCTGCTTGGTGTAGCCACTTCTCTTTGTCCCCACTGAGCTTCATACAGGAAAACAGGTCACATACTGTGGGTAGGCCTAGCCTTTCCTGGACAAACCACAGGAAAACGTGCTATGACGTGTATGTATATAATGTATATGGATATGACTGATGTGTATGAAATGCAACTTTTAAAAGTGACAGTTTTAAACCCTAGTTCTATGGATGGAAACCTAAAATGGTTTCTTAAGGGACAGTTCAATCAAAAATTCCGTCATCGATTCATGTCGTTCTATAACCCCAAGACTTTCATTTATTATTAAAATACAAAAGAAGATATTTTTAATGAAACCTGAGAGATTTCTGCTCCTTCATTGAAAGTTCAAGCAACCAAAACGTTCATAAAGACTTTGTAAAAGTGATCCAATCATGAGTTCGCGTTTACCATATTTGATGTGCCCTATATATGTGTGTTGATCAATGTTCAAATATGTGTGTTGAATAAAGTTCTGAATTAAGTCTGTTAATCATCTAAACAGGACCTTTTGTGTCTCTTTAGAATCTTTATGAACGTTTTGGCGCCAAAGTTTTGATTAGGGTTGGGACAATAAATCGATGCGTCGCGATTAGTGGATCGATTCTGAGATTTTCGGAGTGCATCATGATTCTCGCTCTCGAATTGATTCTGAGCTTAGTTTTTAACAGCAGATGGCACTCTAGGCTAGTTTTTAACCGCACACTCAAATGCTCACGAAGAAGAGCGCTTGTGCGGTCGGCTGAGTAATGTAAGTGGTTAAATGTACTTGCACATCGGCTTTTATGATGCGAGATTAATGTAAACACAGCCCACTGTGAACATCTTTGTAATTCGCTTCAACCTTTTCGAACTTTATGAATGATTATTTTAGGTTCAAATGGTGTGCGTGTAAGGAACTGGAAGCAAGCAGAATACGGCTATTTCTAAAGCACGCAGTTCAATCTGCTGTTAAAAACTAAGCTCAGAATCGATTCAAGAGAGAATCACGATGCCTTCGGAAAATCTCAGAATCGATGCAGAATCATTCCTCTGTTCGCGATGCATTGATTTATTGTCCCAGCCCTAATTTTGATTCTGTAAAGTTTCAATGGAGGGACAGAAATCTCTCAGGTTTCATGAAAATTGTCTTTATTTGCATTTAAAAAGTCAAATGGGTTTGGAACAACATGAGGGTAATTGATGACCATTAAAATTTTGGGGTAAACTGTCCCTTTAATGTGTTTATGTTGTGCTGGGCCTCACCTGTGCACTGGCCCGTTTGCGTAGAAGCCATTTGTCCTCCTCGATGTCTTTGTTGTCTTGCGCTTTAGTGTTCTCGCTCTTTGGCGTCTCAGTGGTTGTGCTTTTGTGCTTCATCGCTGGCAAAAGCCAGTTCTGCAAAGGCTCCTGGACAGAGCTCTCAGAGTCTGAGGTTTTGATGTATGGGGTCACCCAGGCAGAGAGGGACGACAGGGCAGGGGATTTGGCACTGTTGCTCGGGTGTAGCCACGCCTCTAGGATGGCTTGAACCTTCTGCTGCTGCTCCTGCTGCTGGCTGGAGGCTTTGTTTGTGGCGTTCTTATTAACAGGAACGCCATTCTTATCTCGACCCTCTTTCTTGAGGAGCCAAGCACTGAGGGCCTCTTTTCCACAGTTGTCATCACAGACACATTGAGCGTAGCTGGCACAGGTCTCGTTGGCTTTGCAGGTGGTCTCAATAGGGATGGTCTTGTGAAGCCACATCTCGATGGTTTCTGGACTGGTGATTGGAGTGCTGGCAGTGGATGAAGGTGGAGTCTTTAGGCACTTGAGCTTTCCGAGGTTCTCGATTTCCACGGCAGTGGTGCGTGTGGCACAGCAAGAGCTGCAGTCGGATTTCGGTAGCCAATCGCTAAGGGAGAAGCTCTCGTAAAAGGGTTTGATGATCTGCTTGAAGCGGTCAGCATCTGACACCGGGCTTGTCTTATCTTGCTTGACCGGGCTTGGGCTGAAGAGCCACTTGCTGAGTTCTTCTTCCTCAACAGCGTCATCCCATTTGTCCTGCTGGTCTTCCACTTCCACCTCATCCAGATTTAGGTCACTTTCCTCGATCATCTCAATCGAGAAGGTTGAGCTTCCGCTGCAGGTTCGCTCACGAACTGGCAATTTCTCCTTCAGAAGCCACGACTCTAGGTCTTGAAGCTGGCCCCAAGCTTTCTGGAAGTCAAAGGCAGGTAACTGTCGCTCTTCCTGTAAAGTGGAAATGAAAAAAACTCAGTGTGCCATTTTCTAAAGACATCAATTTAAGAGCAGTAGCACTTTAGCTACAGTCAAGTGAATAATTCAACGGTTCTCAACAAGTGGGTCACACATCTGCGCTTATATCAGAATATATAATCGCATGATGAAAAATAAAATTAAATAACGGTTTACCTGAGATTCCTTGGAGACAAGCAGCCAGTCTTGGGGGTCTGTGCTGAGGGGGTGTCCTACAGGAGCGCTGCTTACTGAACGGTTTCCTAGAAGCCACTCAGCCAGAGGTGTGGCCCATTCGGGATCTAATTTCTAAGTAAACAAGATGGGTATTTTACCTTGGATGCAAATTAACGAGCAGGAAGCTACACAAGCCATGTGTAACATCAAAAACAAACCTGTTTCTTGCAAGAAACTGGGCAGTCCTGGAGAAGCCATGGTCTTTCAGAAGAGTTTGAGGTCTCCATGTGCTGCAGCAGAGAAGAGTTATGAATTCATGTGCTTTGTGTAAGGGTGCACAGGTCTATTTATAGCAATGGTATGAGCACATAGTATTTTCACACGTTCTACTCTCCCCAGCTACACTGTGATCCTGTCAAAACTCAACTGGACATTTCAATCCTGTTAATAACCGGACCATATGTTCTATCAGAACGTGTTCACTAAATTCTCACACCATGTCTACACCAGGCACAACCAGTGCCACAACAGCTTGAGGTTGTCTGCACTGAACAAAAGTGCAAGAAAGTTCAGAATCAATTTGTACTGTTGTCGGAAGTAGTGTAATTGATGGAGCACATCAGAAATAGAACAGCATTGTTTCATATCCAGTTTAGACAGTATTGCTGATTATACTGGGCTCTGTTTGCGTTGTACCACTGATGTCAGGTGTAGACTGTGCCAGTGTATTCAAATAATTCAAATTTTCTAAATGTTTCAAATTTTCATCTAATGAAAACAGTTTTGAAAACATGCTTTGATTATTTTTTGCTGTATTATAGTTCTTGCATTAAACCGTTTTAATCTACTTGGCTACTTACAAATCAGCAATTCCACAAACCTGGGTAGAAATGGTCCCAAAGGATGTGATCGCCTGGCGCAAGCTGCGTGCATCTGCTTGGAAACTCATCTCTGGGCTTTCGTCAGGAGTCAGATTGAGAGAAGAAAGCCTGGAATGACGAAAGACGAGTTTTAAACCCATTATTATCCAATACATTTTCATCATCTACATAGACATTTTTGTGGTTGAAAATTATTGTAGATTGTTTGGAGATTCACAGAGAGACAGGGAAACCACTACATTACCTCTGTTGACTATCTTGACATGTAAACAGTCATTTAACACACTGGAGCAGATACACAAAGAAAATCATTCTAGAAAAGTCGATCTGGTTCTTACTTTTCCAGGCAGTTGGTGAGCTGGGTGGCGAGATTGTTACTACTGGAATACTCCAGCTGATGAATGAGAACGTCAAACTGGCCTTTGAGCTGTAAGAAACCACCAGAGAACAATAATCATTTCAGCTTTACAGTATCTCAAACAGAACAGCTTCACTTCTCCTTTAGTTTCAGTATTCAGAGTCAATACATTTAGATTACATTTCTCAGAATTATCAAAAGTTTCTGTACTGACTGCTTTATTTTAGTCTAGACTAAGTCTAGACTTTTTTTTAAAGAAACGATACCAGTATTTCCGCAATAACAGCTCAAGTTTCCTGACTGACAAGATGGCTGTGTGTACAAATGATCACATGTACTTCTTCAAACCGAAAATGTAAAAACGCTCAGTAAAATCCCTTTAAACTCACCAAATGCAGCTGCTGTAGCTGCTGATGTAAAGTTTCTCCTTTGAGCTGCTCCACCAGATCAATCTGCTCCAGCAGCCAGACCTCACGAGAGCGAAGGATCTCCAGATGTCTACTGATACAGCTGTGCAGCTGAGACTTCACCTGTGAGTAAGCAGAGGCACATATA